CAGTACCAAAATAAATAAAACCATCATATCATCTAGCAATCCCATAATACTGGTTGTATCTATTCAAAGGAATGAAATCAGCATACCAAAGGCATACGTGCACACACTTACTGCAGAACTCTTGAACATAGTTAAGTAATGGAATCAGCCTAGGAACCCAACAACAGATGAATGAAAATAGAAAATATGGTGTGTATGTGTGTGTACACATATACATATTATATATATACACATACACACACACTATTATTCAGTCACAAAGAAAATCAAAATCCTGTCATTTGCAGTAAAATGGATGGAACTGAGGAACATTATGTTCAGTAAAATGATCCAGACACAGAAAGACATATTTAGAAACTGAAAAAGCTAAACTAAAAAAAAAAAAGAATACTGATTTCTAGGTACTGGGAAATGCGCTAATATCTGAGAGGTGGGGGGATAGAAGAAACATGAATGGATATGATCAATATGTGTTATAAGCAATAATAAAAATATCACAATGAATCCCCTTCCAAAAAAACAAAGTAAAGGTATTATGTCCATCTACAACTGAAAAAACATTTTTTTAAAGGAAAGGTAAATACTTTAATCTGGTTTAGTTTGTAGATCAGAGTTTTTCGGCAGTCAGTTGAATAGAACACTAAGACTAATGGGCAGCTTGCGTTCACATGCAGGCCATTAACTTCATAGAATTGGTGATACTCAACCCCACCTATTTAACAGCTGATGTATGAATGCTATTATCATTTACAGGTCAGAATCCAGTTAGCAGTTACTGAAAACTTACTGGTAAAGGCATGCTCAGAGCTGTTACAGTGATGGCAGCCATCAGCTGCTCCTTCAGTAAATTTATGTTCTGATCTTCCAGAAAAGGCTCCTGTGGGAAAAATCTTTCACAATGGCAACACCACCTATCAATCACCTCTGCCACTGGATTCACAGTTGAGTCCTGTGGAGAATGAAGTTATGTAGAATGGTAAACATTAATAGGTTGTGTATCCACACACAGGCTGAAGTTGCAATTACTGTGGCCAGGTCCAAGAGAACAGCAATAATTAGTGAGCACTCTCTAAAGGGGAAGATGCATCTTAAGGGGCTACAGTACAAGCCTCAAAGTGGGGCTGAGTGTGGGGGGCTTTCCCTACTCTACCAACTCTAAGAATTAGAAGTATGATTTTGCCAATAGGTTTTGATACACATTTACACCTTATTTAACCTATGCAGCGGCAGTCTGAGGGAGTCTTATTTCATTTTTTTGTTTCCAAGAATGAAAGAAAGCTTTAAAAACAAGCATTTTGCTTAATTACTGGTTCAAGAGAACATGGACAGGTCTATGAAAGCTCATTACCAAGATGATCCAAAAATTATATTTGTGTATTAAGGAATGGAGTCTCACTTTCTCCAGGGAGTCACCACATGACAAATTAGATGTATGGTCACACCAAAGTCTTAATCTCACAAGAAAACTGTACCATCTGGATTACACAGACAGTAGCCAAGACTATGGTTTACACTTCTAAACAGAATCTTACAAAGTTGGTAGCACAAACATTCCAATTTTTGTCACCCTCACTAAATTGCTTCACAACAATGGTTCTTACGGGGTAAAATTTCAAACCTGTTCAGTAGGCACCTGCTTTTTAGTTAGAATCACTCTTGAGTGTTGCTATTTAAACTTCTACTAAGGAACAAAAGCTGAGCTGTGAACACTTGGTAAGAAATTCTTGATTTTATTCCTCCTAGTGAAAATGCTTCATTAATATAGTAAGATCACAGGAAGTCATTTAGCTATGAATAAACTATTACTGGTTTCTCCCCCAATGTGTAATGACAATTTAATTGGTTGGATGATTAATAGTCTCATCTATGACCATCAGTAGCTAGAAATTAACTGGCTCACATGTATTCAAACTCCTTGACTTGAGCAACATGTTGCTTCAACCAGCTGAGTAAGTGCATGGAAGATACGTTTTTAAAAAAATGTACAAACTGCATCTTACCAAATGAAATGTTCTCATCTAATGAAACTGGCAACTTATATACTTCATTATAACATGATAATCTAAAACAAACGTTCCCAAATTTAGCTGCCCCTAAATCATCTCAGACTATTTAAATTATAACCTCCACAAGAAGCAATATTATTATTATTTTTTAAAAAGCTTCCCTAGGCAATTCTGGTGTGCAATTAGGTTGGAAAATACCAAATTACTTGCTACTCTCTTCTTGGAATTGCTTTTAAGTCTGGAGCACTCTTTTACAACCTTGATGAGTATAAACCATTTCATTCTCAAATGAACTGCATTCTTTTAAAATGAGTTCAACTCAAGTGTAGTGAATATCAATGTCTTATTATAAACCTGTATGATAATAATTTGTATAATAACAATTTTGGTGGAAAAAAATATTTTCTACAGAGGATTGCAAAATGGTTCTGCAGGCAACCTAATGAGGGGAATTTCTAAAATGTGATGCATGAACAGAATATGTAATTACTTTTTGCTTAAAAGGGCAACCTCCCCGAGCCTCTTCCCCTTCATTTAGATGCATAAAGTTTTTTGAATCTTCCTATTTTGTAGTTAAATTCATATACTGTTTACATATGGCCAAAGATGCATTTGAACAAAAGATTTCATCTGTTTTCCCACTTGATTGTAGATTAAGTTTCTCTCTCATTAGGTCTACAATTCCATGTTAAAAAAAAAATCACCTAAGTCATTATTTTTAAGTACAGATAGCATTATATAGAAAATAAAAGTCCAGTCCTATAAGTATTGATATCTAACACCAGTTCTATAAATTTGCAAATAGTCTGCATATACCAAATACACCAATATGTACAGCTAATATTTTTTAATGTAGGCCTATAAAAATTTCACAGTATCAAAAACACTAATACACACAAACCTTTACTAAAATATCTGCCAAGAAAACCTTATGATTCAAATTTAATTTATAAAGTTAGTCTATCCAAACACCAGTTATTGGGACATATCAAGAGTGACTGAGAGCATATGGTTCATATGGTTTAGAATGAGACATGGGCCCAAATTGCTGCACCCCATTATTGGTGGGATCTTGTATGAGTTTTTGTCATTATGCTTAAATTCTTTTTACAGGACCTGGGGAGGATCAAAGAAAATAATATTGGCAAAGTGCTTATTATCACTGTGATGGTACATTGAGTGGACTTTAAAATCAGTATTCCATGCCATTTAAAAAACGCAGTGGCTGTTTTACATTTTCCACTTTTTACCTAGGTGAAAATCAAAGCCCAAATAATTTTCATTTATAAAAGCAAAAAATATAATCCTGATAGCCATGAATAGTCATAATCCCAATGATGCAGTACATATTTTATTTTTGAAGTTTTTAATAAGTTATTTTAAGACCTTCCAGACACTGATCACTAAACACATTCATCTGAGATTTACTGAGTGCCTACACTCACCACATACCAGATATTGTGCTGAGGCATTTACTCAAGAATCACAACTGCAAAAAAATCTGGAGACTTAGAATTTTAATTTTTCCACACTGCAAGAATTCTTATATGCATTAAAGTTTTATATATTACATGAACGGTACTGTTATTAGAATAGTAAACTTGACAACTTCATTGTTACTAAAAATATACAACACATTTACTTTGAGCTCCTCATGTATAAATTTAAAGCTATTTTTTTCATGGCTCACTAAAGATTAACTTATAATATTGAGGATCAAATGACCTGTTTATAAATTTGCCATTTCTAAAATTATTAAATGAGGTTTCAAGACATTTTAGGTGTTCATTCTCCTGAGGGCTGGCTTCATGACCAATCACTGAATCATTATCGTCTTGTCACTCTTAGGTTTCCTATGCCTTCTAGCTAAATAATTGATTTGGTAGAGGAAAAGCATGCAATAAGGGAAAGAAACTTAAATTGTGTATCCAACTTTAAATTAAGCATCTCTCCATGTGACACACTTAATTAAGTAAAACTTTCACTAAGATTGTAGGGGAAAGGGAGCATCTTTTCTTTTGAATGGTCACACTTCAGAATAGCAGCCATCACAAATCCCTGCTTTCCTCCCTGCCAAGTTATCAGCAATGCAAAGCCAATAAAAAACCATGCAAAATTCCATATTGAGGTGTTCATATATTATCTTTAACTTTAGTTTTCACATTCTTATTCATGTGAATAAGGTACAAAGTGGATTCTTAAAATGTAAAATCATCCTATTTGCAACATGAAATGTAGTAGATAGGGTCAGGAGTCAGAATCTAGAATTAAATCTGGCTTTGCCACTTCTTGGCAGTAATCTGGGGCACCATCAGTCTCATGATTCTTACCAAATATAACTAAATGAACAGATTTGGAGTAGTGTCTGGGACATGGTAAGTGCTTAATTGCTAATATGGTCTAATGTTTCTAGTTATTTCTGCTCTTGGGACTAGAAATGATTTATAATAATTTTGCTAACCTGAAATGTTTCAACACTTTTATCAAAAAACACAAAATTCTTATTGACTGTCTATATACCATACAGTATAATGCACCACCTAAAACTGATACATAACAGCTTTCCTTCTAAGATTGAGACCACCTAATAGTATACATAATTTATGAAAAATTAGGCTATAAAAATTCTCAAGTTACAGTTAATACTAGTCAGTCAAAATGGTGAATAAAAACAGCATTATCTGAATTAAAGATTAAAATTATTTTTCATCAAACTGTGGAACTAAATTAAATTTAGAAGTCTGAGATGATGCCCAGTGTCCTAGGCTTCTGGAAATATCAGCATTTTCTTAAGACAAGGGGCTCCTACCTAAACCTTGCCTGCAACCTGATAAAAACAGAACAATGGGACTTCATTATTACTGGGCAGTATCCTGAGGTTTGGGGAGTGACACATGCCTGTTTACAACGCCATACAGGTCACCCAAGTATATCTTATAGAGAAGCGTACATCCCTTCCCCCATTCCATTAAAATTCACTGAAATAAAGAATCCTTGCAATCACAACCACCTTTTATTTTGTGAGGCTGTGTGTTCGCTCACTGCAGTGAACTCTCAACCTTTAAATGTAACAATTCAAAGTAAACACTGTTCTAGATTAAAAATGATAGAAGAGTATTACAATTTTACAATTGCTGAACAGAGATTACATCATTTTTTCAGTTGGAAAACTATGTATTCACCCTTTTTAAAACTTCAAGTAAGTCACCAAAATTTATTCACACTAACATGACTGGTTAGGATGCATTATTCTTTCAAATTTAAAACATTAAGTGGAGAAAAGTACCATCAACCATCTCTTGCTGAAAACAAATATCAAAATGTATCTTAGGAACTGAAATAATACTTAGGAACTAAAACATATTTTTAGGTGAGCTTTGTTTTTCAAGGTAGCATCACTAATATTCCCCAACCACTTAACTCTACTGCAATTCAGAAAAGTGATTCAATATATTAGCAAGCATTTCTAAGCATAAACATCAAACCTATATGTCTCTTAATTCTAGACCTGGTTTGTATAGCCACACTTGAGACAATGACATAAATTTAATGATTTTTAAACACTTAACATTTCCTTTTAATGTCTCAATTTAGACTTTGAATAACTAGGTTTATTAACTTAACAATCTGAGCTGTTCTATTTTTCAAGGTGTTATAGATCATCTAATTGGGAATTAAGACCAATAAAAAACACTCAAAACTTGAAATACTAATACCTTCCCGTAGACAAACACCTTTCCTAGAAAATTTCAAACAAATCAGGACGTGAAATTCTTCAGTGTTTGAAGGTAGTAGCATCTGACTCATCACCGCTCAAGTATGGTGAAAGTTGTCCTGAGGAAAATGTTCATATTTTTCATTGGCATCTTAATTGCATCATGTAAAAGTGGAAAATGTAGAGATTAAGAGCATAAGGTTTATAATTCTACAGTTCAATGGAGACAAAACTGAATGCTATAAAGACATATGCAAATCTAAAAAGAAAATTATAACCCAAGACACGTGGGGAAAAATATTTATGTGTAGTTTTTAATCCATATTAGAATTCAGTTGTTGTAACTTTATCATCAATTTAAACAGAAATTGTCTTCTGAGACATACAGCCTAATAAATGTATCAACAGTATGGATATTCAATGGAGGGTTGGTTATTTGAACTTACAACATTTCATTATTCTATCCATAGGAAATCTATAGTGGTTCTCCCCACTTACATATCTGAACCATTGTCTTATGAGAACAAAATTAAATAAAACTGACCATAAAAATATTCTGACGTTAAAATAAAGCAAACTATAATCCTTGGCAGATCAATTTGGTAAAAAACATTGGTGATGGTTGGAAGCACAGGATAACTGACATGAATCTTCAGCACAAAGCACACCTTTGAAAACATGAAATTATGACTCTTCAGGATAATAGCTATTAAATATCCAAGAATCATCAGGTTTTTAAAATATTGCTTAATCACTTTCCAAAACATAGCTGTAAGGAACTAAAGATTTTGTTAAAACTATCAAGGTGATATTTATTTATTGCATCATTAGACTGCATTTCAAGACAGAAAATTAAGTGTACTACAGCTTCACCAAAATATATATTTAAAGTGTGTGTATGGAGGGAACCTAAGGTATTTATAAACAAACTATAGACTGCATGTGCTTTTCAAAGGGGACGAATTAAATATAACCAGCTGCCAACTTTGTGCTCTGACATACTTGAATTAGTGGGCATGTATATACTAAATTCATTTATTTTTGTCCACAATAAATGAAAGAAAAACACCACCCTATACAATCCACTATTAGCAGTGAGTACAACAGCAAAAAAATTATTGTACAATTTATACATACTAAAATATTTTCTTTCTCTAGAAATAACTCAGAACAAAACCTAATCATTATAAGACTTTGGGAAATCTCAAATTACAATAGAGAAAAAACAAATCAGGGTATGTATTGAGCCCAAAACAAAGGTTCTTGGTCATAAGGCTATGAGATTAGTAAGTGCAAGTGGTAGGATGAAGCATGCTCAAATTCTAAGCTCGGGTCTTTGTGTAGTTATCAAATCTTTAAATTAAATAAGACTAGCTAAAGAAATGTTTTAAGCAGAGCAAGATAACTGGGAATTTTGCATTTCTTTTGCCATTTTTGTTACCCAACTTACACAATGAGCAAAGTGCTAATAAGCAACACTACAGAAACACATTTACATCAACACTGAAGACCTGGGGAAGTGAAATCCAACAATTTTATTTTAATGAGCTGTATTTTCTAAAGTTTTGTTTTATTTTTTCCTGTTTTCATACAGTATTGAAAACAAAACGCGGCACATTCACATTTTCCCGAGAAACTGTAAAGATGATCTCTACGGGGATAAACGTCGTAAAGCCTGAAGCTCAATCAATTTGATGTTGAAAACTCTCAAAGGGAGTAAAGGCTTGATCTGAATGGTCTAGAACACGGTACTGTAATTTAATAGAAGAGATGGTCGTCTTAATATTAATGATTTAAAAGAACTTCCCAGTCCATGCGAAGAATACAGTCCAAGAATAAATCAAATTTCTGAACACATTTTATGCTACATATGTGTATACTTTGCGATCCTCAGGTGTTCGTGCCAAATATTCTCTCTCAATAAGTCCTTCAATACGTTTCTTAATAACAACTGGACTTGGTAAGAATCGTGCCTTCAACTGCTGAGTTACCTAAAAAAAAAAAAAAAAAAAAAAAGGGATAAAGACTAATTCTACCAGAAAAATTAACATTTTCATTTAAAAACACAAAAATTTCTATCTTTGAATAGAACTATTGTATCATTTTAAGATTAAAAAAAAAAGTTGAAAGTACAGAAAATTTCAAAAGGATTTTATTTGAAAATGCATGATTAGAATGTAATTCTATTTGAATGTGAATGTTAAAATGAATAAGCAGTTGAATTAGTTGGATTATATTAGTATGAATACATACTACCCTACAGTTTAATCATTTTGCTGTTTACTAATGGTTGACCTTTGGGTTATACTCTCCTGTTTCATAGAACTTGGATAGCATAATATACTTAAGAGCATAAAATTCTGAACCCAGACTGCCTGGTTCAAATCCCACCTCTATCACTTACTAGCTTTGGATCCTTAAGAAATTATATACATTAATTGAGTTAATACATGCAATGTCTTAGAATAATGTCCATCCATACTAAGTACTACTGTTGTCATTTGTTTCTCCACGTGTGGTTAAGAACCTAAGTATTGTGTCATCAGTAAGTACAGCAGCAGCCACAACCTGCTATGCACTATTTGTCAATCATTTTGCACACATTAATGTATTTAAATGCTCTTTACACTGAAAAGGGGGCTGTCTTATTTTATAAAGGAGGGAAATATGCCACAGAAAAAACTGACGTGAATAAGTAGTAAGTAACAGAGCCAGGAGAGATGAATCTAAACCTTTCTGACCTCAAAGTTGATGCTCTTTCCAAAAAGTCATCCTGCCTCTCTTGCAGATCATCCACTCATTCATAAGCCATCTTTTCTTTTACTCTTGATCAGTTCATTTCTCAAAGTCACAATGGATTGATCAATTCTTTGAAATATGAAACTTCAGTACTTCACTCTGTAACTAAAATCTGTCATACTTCCAGGATTATCACTCCAGTATCAGCAAATTTGCTCTCAACCCACCTGAGATCTCCAATTCTTTGACCCACTTTTGTCTTTCAGGTTATGAATAGCTTCTTTTGACATTTCTTCCTTCCTTGCAGAGCCTGGACTACATTCAAAATCACTTCAGCTACACTATCAACAGTTCCTATAATTCTGACTGGTTCTCTGGTCCTATTCCATAAACACCCTTTGATCAAACTTACATTCTACATCTACTACTTCACTTTCCATCTACTACAGCTCCCTGCTGAGTCAAACTGCAGTTTTTATACCGTGTATTCACAGGACAGGAGCCAACAAAGTGGATCACAGGCCAAATACAGCCTGTTGCTTATTTATATAAAACTTCACTGAAATATAGCCAACTTGTTTATGTATTGTCTACAGATGCTTTCATGCTACAGCTGGCCATTTACAAAATGTATGCCAATATAAATTTACAGATTCACATTCAGCAAATTCTTGAGCACCATTCTTCAAAAGAAATTTCGGACAAGTTCCTTTTTAAGTTATTCGACTAAGCACTGCACAAAAGAGACCATTTGTTTGAAATCCCACAAATTCTCACCTCTTATATGCACATTTATCCATTCTTATGTCATGCCTTGGTTGGCACATATCACTGCTCTTTATATGGTAAGAAAGGGGGACTACCCTATTGTTGTTTCTCTTCCTGCCCTCCATGTTATTCCTGGGAAAATCTGTGGTTTTAACTATATTCCCATATAGTGAATTCTAGTTCTTACCTTTCTTCTGACTTCCAATTGGCCTATGGATATGCCTCTAATAAAATACAATAGAGCAAACTTGTGCAAAATAATATTAACTAACATCTGGAACATATCATTTTTCAGTTAAAGGGAACAACCTCTCAAGCCAGAAACCTAAGAGGTTCAACTCCTCACTCATTATCGGCAAACAGATCCTGTCAAATTTACCTCTCAATCATCCTGATTCACTAGTTATTAATACTTTACCAAGGCCCTAGTCATCTTACTATTTCAATAGTCTTTTAATGGATTTCCCCCTTTTTAGTTTTCCCAATGTGTGAAATACAAACCCTCAATATATGGCAACTGTTATTAGTTTTCAGAAATACAGGTAGTTTGTTTACATAAAGATATTAAAATAGCAATAATTCTTCTTCTTGTGCCATTATTATCCTTTCATCTTAAATACATTAGTTCCTCCAGTGTGTACGTTTTGTCAAATGTCTTGTTTTCAATGAGAAGTGATACACAAAGAGTTTCAATTAAACAGTACTTCCTTAATTTGTTAATAATGTTATTCTGCTTTTCTCTATTCATCAAGTATTGAAGTATCCTTACCTCTGCTACTAAAACATTGTGCTGCATCTTCTTTCTAGATTTCATTATTCGCACTATAGCAGCTTCTATCTCATGTTTTCTGTCATCATCTACTTTCTGCCTTGTTTCTTTCCTTTCTGGGTCTGATTCACCTTGTTTGGCAGCAACTAAAATAGAAACAGATATTTTCCATAAATGTAATGAAAAATTTGGTTCACAAGCATACCTATATTTCTATCTTCAGAGAAAAATTAATTTCAACCTTCAAGTACACACACACATTTATCAAAAAGTAAACATTCAATGTTCAATTCTAAATTATTCTTTCTATAAATTAGGAACTATACAGAGATAACAAAATCAATTTCATTTTTATAAAACACAAGTCCTTTTCTGGAAGGAAAATGGTAGCTGGCTATTCTTTAGCAGAAACAATTTTCACTGCTTATGACTTCCAGGGCTCAACTAATATTTTACCACACCATGGCTTCAAGTTATACTTCACCAAACATATTTTACACAGGCAAATACTTATTGTTTCCTCCTTAGAATATAGCAATAATCTCTTAAAAGACATTAAGGGAAGAAAAGAGTATGTGGAGTTAAGATTCTGGCAGCTAAATCATCAATTAAAAACCACCACTAAAATGTCAGTAAAAGAAACTCCTTAACAGTAAAACAACTCATTTATACCTGCTAAAAATCTCCTATTATCTAACAATTTCTCATTATGACCTTATTACCAAACCTCACTCTGTACTTCCTATAGGTCTTCAAAGCAACTGCTAAGTGGTTAAATACAGCATTTTCTTTCTTGCACAACTCTGCTCTAATTGAAGCAGCAAAGAAGACAAGTCAGTTTTTGGTCATTAAAAGGACGTAGATGTAAAGTTTCTGGAAGAAGGGACTGGACAATTACACAGAAGTGCAAGGAACACTGCTGATTTGGGCATGGGCAGGAGATAGTACAATTAAGAAGATCATTCTAGCAAGCATATCCATTTAGCTGTTTCTAATTAGAATCCCTTGGTAAAGAATAGAGCATCCAGCATCATTTGCTAAGACATCATAATCTTGGCAAAAAAAAAAAAAAAAAAAGAGAGAGAGATCAGATGATATAGTCTACAAAGAAAGAATAAAGTTTTTCCTGAAAAAAGTCAATGTCATGTACACAAACACAAAGAGAGATTCTTTTAGGTTAAAAACAATTAAAAGAGATATAAGGGGGACAGAAAAGAGAAAGTCAGTATGACAAAATTTTAATTAAGGTAATTTAGGTTTGTTTAGGTAAACATAGGTTATAGACATACTGATGTCCATTACAGTATTTTTCAATTTTTTTGTGGATCTGAAATTATTTCAAATAAAAAATTAGGAAAAACTTATTTTAAAAAAAGTGATTTGGTTCATGTGAATCTGGGTATACTCCTTAAATTCCTACAAAAAAAGATAAATGGGAAGACTAGGGTGATACATCCTGAATTACAATTTTTTCTTTTTCTTTTTTAAAATATTAAGTACAGGAGCCACTCCCAGGAGCCTAACACTTAAGAAGAGTAACTGAAGGTGATGCCTACACATGTATCTGTATCTTTATGTACCTACAGATGGGTAGTTGGAGCAGATTTTAAATTATGGAAACTGTTGCTGATGATGAGGACTCTAAATTCTTTCCAAAATTAAAAAAAATAAATAAACAAATGAATAAAATTTTTTAAATTAAATTTTTTTTTTTTGCTAAAGTTTCTATTACTGGCTATAATAAAAACAGTATAAACAGGTTAGGCTAAAGTCTGAGTCCTTGATTACATTATTGAGCTTTTAACAATTTAAGAAAACTGATGTGGTCATAATATTTATCACTGAAGAAAAAATTTTCACTAAAAATATAAGAACCAAGATCACCTAAAACCCATCTCCAAATGAAAAACATTTTTACAGAATTTCATCAATGAAAAAAACTTAAAAGAGATATCTATATAAGTCAAATCCTTCCTTATATAGACTACATTCCTACTTTCATTACATCTAAAATCCCACACAGACATGCATGCACACGCACACTTAACACCCCAAACTAAAAAATCCATGAAGTGAAGATTATTTTTAGATAATACTATGCTGGACATCATAACCTGGAATTACAAAAGCAATTTTTTATTTAGGGTAAAGTAAGATGAAGCCAGGTGATTCAGATACATATTCCTATATGTTCTCCAGATCCAGAATACAAACAAGCCCTGAAATATAAAACCTATTTCTACCCCAAATACATGTTTTTCATTTAGAGAAAAAGAAATTTTATTTCATGATGCTCATAATTAGACAGTTTTGTTTTTATCAAACAGTATGTCACAAAGATATGGCTAATTTTGGCTAATGAAAATTACAATGATACAGTTTGCGACTATCACACATAGGAATCAAAACTTTAACCAAAATATCACTCCGCTTTACAAAAACGTCAATAAGGAAACCAAAAGTTTTTGTGTCAATCTACTTTAGTAATCAACTCTATATTTAACACAAAAAATTTTTATATTATCTTTATTAATGTATGATATAAATACATTTTTAAAAATTATAGTCATTTAAAAATGATGTTTATCTTATTTTAAAACAGTTTTATCCACCGTAATAGATGAATTAGCAGTAGAAGGCTTATCTAAATGCTAGTTTTGAAATGAGGTAGCAAGCTGCTTTACTTTCAAATATCAGGAAGAATTAAGTGTCCTTTTTTCTGCTTAAATACATTAAAAAAAAAACCCACATCTTACATTATGTTAAATATATAATATAGTATTTTCACTATCAACCTGAAAGGCTGTAAAACTTGACTGTCATAAAACATTGCATGTTTTTAAATTAATATTGGTTTTAAGATTCTGAAATTTAAATTATATATAAACCATAAGTTAAATCATGGTTCATTTGTTGAAAAACATATAGAAAGAAGTACTTTTCCACACTACAATTACTTTTTAAAAGGTTTATTACTGTACTTGGATTCAACCATATATTGATATGAACATATTATTAATAGAACCTGCTATTTTTCTTATGCCAAGTGTCAGTCATATAGCACTATGAACATTTTGTTAAAAAAAAGCATTAATTTCCTTTTTTTTAAGGAATAAATTTAGCAGATGAGAATTTTTCCAGAGGAAATATATAATTACCAGATACCTGTCTGAATCTTGACTCTGTGTAGTTTGGATGTGAACTGATCATTAACTGTAAATATGTGACCATTTTCTATTTCCTTTGACTTTGGTTCTTTCGTAAGAACCCGCTGTGTTGGTTTACCACAGGCGAGGGACTGTAGGGCTCTAACCAGCTCTCTTTCGGGGATATCTGTTTCTTGTTGAATTTCCTGAAATTTCACCAGATTGACAAAATTAGAATTTTTGAAAGATTAAAGGAGATTAGTTAATTAGAGAAGAAAATGATCAAGCAGTGGTTAGAAAGAGGTAATTCCAATCAAGAAATAGTTTATAACAAAGAATATTATTGGCTCATCATTAAAATCTCATTTGAACAAACTAAAGGGTGATTGAAGTTATAAAATATTAAGAACACGTGTACATTTTTGCTTCAGGAGACAGGATTACTTTAAAAATATCATTCCACAGAGATTGTTAAGAACCTGCTTTAATGTTTAGATACAAATAAACTGTTAACCACATATAACTGCTAATCAGATTTTCTTAGCAATGTCTTTTATATAAAGAAACAAAGTAATACTGACTTCAGGCTAACAAAATAAAAATCAAAACTTAGAATCCAATTGACAATATTTACTGCCTGTGTGACAAATGAAACGTTTAAATACCTGGAAATTAACATTAAATATAAATATCAGTAAGAAATACATTGACATTTGGAAGTTCAGGTAATAACTTTGCTACATATTATGGTATGAATAAAACAAAAAAATTTCAAAAAGCAGCTGAGGAAAAAATAAAATATTTTAAATTCATTATTCTTATGTCTTATCAGACAGCAAAGAAATTGTACACAGATATTAATTACTCCTCATAAGACAACAGGGACATTTAATTGAGTACAAGGATTCAAAGAAATGTGAATTCCTGATTCTAAATATTCCTTTGCTTCAAATAATCTTTTGCTATATATTTATCTGTTTGACTTTATTAAACATTCATTAAACTTTACACATTTCAAATATTGTACACTCTTATCATTCCTCCAAATAAAATAGGTACTATTAAAATGGAGATGGTAATTATGCATATGATAAAATGAACTATTTTAGTTACTGTTTAATCAAAGAATTGGAAACAGGGCTGGGGTTATGGTTCAGTGGTAGAGCGCTTGCCTAGCATGTGCAAAGCCCTGGGTTCGACTCTCAGCACCATGTAAAAATGAGTAAAATAAAGGTACTATGTCCAACTACAACTAAAAAAAATATTAAAAAAAAAAGAAACTGGAAACAACTTCTTAGGCAATATCTTGAAATTGCAGATTATTTCCAGAAGTAACTATTACAATTCATTATGTAACAACTGATGCCTTTTCCCATTCATCTATAAATACATGAATACAAATGCAGACATACACATGTTTGTACACGAAAATATCCACTTAACTACCAGTATTAGTGTTAAACATACATGGAACCACAACAGGATGTTTTTTGGTTTTGCTGGGGGGTGGGGGCAGTACCAGGGATTGAACCCAGGGGCACTTGGCCACTAAGCCACATCCCCAGCCTTATTTTGTATTTTAGAGACAGGGTCTCACTGAGTTGCTTAGTGCCTAAGCTTTGCTGAGGCTGGCTTTGAATTTGCGATCCTCCCATCTCAGCTTCCTGAGCTGCTGGGATTATAGGCGTGTGCCACCACGCCTGGCCATGGTGTTTTTTTCTATTGATTTTCAGATTTCCCATGTTAAGACAGATTAAAGCCACAAGGCATTCCATTATACTGTTTTATCATCATACAGAAGGAAAATGAAACTGTAATTAAATTTTTGTGATGCATTTCTGATTTTGAGCACAAATAGCCAGGTATTCTGAAGTAGACTTCTAGAAAGGTATTTGGATTCTCAAAGTGATAAATATTTTATATTTGATGGACACTGAGAAACTCTCTTTCAAGTTGCTTAAAATATTAAGCCCTGTTAACAATATGCCTGAGTATCCATTCCCTCACATCTTCAATACTAATTTTCTTTTTCTTTGACAATGGTTGGGCTTTAAATGTTCTCTTTTTAACCTGTATGTCTCATGATCACTGGGATAAAAAAAAGTCTTTTTATATTTGCAGGATATCTGTAACTTTTCCTCTGTGCTTTGTTTAGCCATATTCCTTACATGTTTTTCTACTAAATTGTATGTTTCCATATTGATTTTTGATGCTCTTTATATATTAGTTTTCAATTCTGTTAATTTTGCCTAGACTTTTAATTTATGAGATTTCATCATATAGAGGTTTTTATTAGTTTTAGAATGTTTTTATTATTGTAGTATAGTTGTACATGATAGAGGGGTTCATTGTGACATAATTATACATGCATGGAATATAATCTGCTTCATTTCAGTCCCCAGTACCTTCCTCTTTTCCTGTCTTCCTCCTTCCCTCTGCTCTACTGATCTTCGTTCTATTTACTATTTTTTATTTTTATTTTGAGAGAGAGAGAGAGAGAGAGAGAGAGAGAGAGAGAGAGAG